TGAACCAAGGAAGGATAGCTAATGTACTAGAGGACAAACAGAAGATCCAAAAAATTTCTAACAGGTGGTAATAAGAGACAGAATCTAAAATGACAAATGATAAGAGGGACAAATATTAATCTCTGTATTTAGATTTTAAAAAAACCACTACATAAGTAACCAGATAAGGAATGGTGTGGCTTCACAGAAGTTCACGTGAGAAACAAAAAGACATGTCACTGACGCCACCTTTTCTTCAACTTTTGTTCACGTTAATAATATAGAAGTGGCCTAAGTGAAGGAGTCTACAGGATTCCACTCAGTTACCCACATCAATAAGAACAGTAGCTTCGGGACTGTAAAATTCCTTCAAGATGGAGAGCATGAAAGATTCTGACAGGTTCCTTTCACAATTTTCTCAATCACTTTGGCACCTGGCTGTCTTTTTTTCTATCTCATTTCCCTGTCCTAAAGATGTTTCAAAATTCATGTTGACGACTCTTCAAAATCCCCTTCAGTTAGGACACAATTCCTTAACTATCAATTCTAATAACCTCTTTCTCCCTTAAGCCATACCTTATGTCCAAAAGGTAGAAAGAAGAACAAGAGGTAGAAGTAATGGCAAGGCAGATTTCAAAACACCCATTTCTGGCAACCTCTAAACTTCTTCTGCTATCTTGCAGTAAACTTATTCCTCAATCCCCTCTCTGTCCTGTTCCTGACGTTCTGGATTTCAAAACCATGCCTCCTCTTCAGCTGGCTCATCCTCGAACTTCCCGCAGAGCTTGAGGCCCCCTCGCCCCAAAACATCCTATTGTCCCTGTGGTCTGCTCCCCCAGAAGACCCCTCCACAAGGCTGGCCCTTCTTCTCTCCTTGGTGAGCTCCTCCTGAAGCCTTCATTTGGTGGAAGGACCTAAACTGGCCTTCCTTCATTCCCCTCCTGACTGTTTCTGACTTTCTACACTTCAAATCCATGACCTCACAATATGTATTTTCCTTCTCCTCAGCTTTTCAACTTCTCTCTCATGTGTTTGTGTGTTTGTCTTCCCCCTCGCCCAGAATATAAACAGTTTGTTGTGAGCAGAGACTATCTTGCTTTGGTTTGTATGCCCAGCATCCTGTACATTGTCCACCACATACTAAACATTACATGCTTGTTTCCTTCTTTCCCCTTCAATATCAATAGAATCTCTGGCACTTTGATATCTTCCTAGGACATATCCTTTACTCTGCCTTTACATACTTCCATACAAAACCTAAACTCTACAGTCTATCACTGACATGATGTGCTCATCACTGCCTAGTCACTTCAATATACCTCTCTCTCCTAACTTTCCTGGCACTCTCTACCTAAAAGGCTCTATCCTAGGCAATATTTACATGCAGTTCCTCTGTTTCTCCTCTCAAGCTGCTAAGTATTGTGCGGGAAATAATGAAAATTGAGGTAACCCACTAATCAAATATAACTGCAGCTGGGTAAAAGCAAGCTTAAAATCTGTACAAGCAAAAGATGTGAAATGTGAAAGGAGAGACAAGAAAAAGAAGAGGACAGAGGTAATACAGATGTGACTGCTGAACTACCGACAGTGCTATCCAAAGATCATGGAAAGCAAGAGAGGTACCACAGGATGATGATGTTCATAATGGTCTAAGCAAAAAGTGAACTCACATGGCTTCACACATGATTGAATATAGAAATAAGAACCTTCACAGAGACAAGCTCAACTTCCAGAGGAGCTGAGACTGTCGAGGTCAGTGCAGTTGTAAAACAGAAAGGCTGGGAGAGGTAACATGAAAGTTGTTGTTGAGCTACCTGTGAGAGTCAGACACTCTCATGAGAGAAGCTCATAGACAATATCTGAGAGAGAGATTCAATCAAGTGTGGATCTGCTTCTGGTGAAAGATGTAGGAATAAAACAGCTTCCTTAACCCCAAAGGCCCCTGATGAGAAGGGTCCATGGAGTTTTAACCACTTGACTGGCATCTGTAGGGAATGAAGTTCCCTGGAGAGAGGGTCCAATTCTTTTGTCAAGTGGAAATCTCAAAGAGAATTAACAGACTATTCATAAGAAAGTGGTCTATCCTCCAGCTACAGGGAAGACTCCATGATTATATTCTGCACTTGCAGGGCTGCAGCATGGCTGAGAGAGTGACAAGATCATTCTACTTTTTACCATGCTCATCACTGTCAACTTCAATACCCAGAGGACTGAGAAGGAGTTGCCACACTTTCACCTACATTCTTCACAAAAGCGACAATGGGGTCTTGTTGTGAACTGGCGCTACTAGTTTGTGCCTGTGCAGCATTCCACCTCATGAGGTGAGTAGCAGTAAGCTCTAGCATGGCACCCACCTAAAGTGTGGGGGAAAGAAAAAAGGTCTCATCTATTGAAGCCAAGAGCAATGGGAAAACCCATTCAGACAAGTGAATGAGGGATTCTGAAACAAAATTATGTTGTACTCTTGGTGAAGGCCTTTGCCCTCACAAGTGCTCACAGATTGTGCACTTGAAGTAGTTTCCCACCATTAAGTCCTTTATAGCCATCACAAATCATTTTAGAGTGCACCATGTTCAGAGTAACTTCATGGATACAGGAATGGTGATGATCTTGCTTACATTTCCTCTTCTGTTTGATTTAAATATTCAAGAGTTCTTTAATGTAACTAATTGCCATGCCTAGTTCCTCATTAATAGAAAAGGCAATCTTCATCCTAGTATTATGTACTTAGAAGTTTCCAGGCCATAGCAAGAGGAAAACTTCAAAACTTCAATACTGCTTCCAGTGGTCTAGACCATTTGGCAGATACAGCCAAAAAATGTTTGAAGACTGACTGAGGGTTTAGTGAACTGCAAGCTCAATGTAAGTCAACAATGTGATGGGGTATCCAAAAAAGCTAATACAATCCTGGGCTGCATCAAGAAAGGTATAGATTCGGGGCAGGTAAGTGGCACAGTGGATAGAGCACTGGCCCTGCAGTCGGGAGGACCTGACTTCAAATCCGGTCTCAGACACAGAACACTTACTAGCTATGAGACCCTGGGCAAGTCACTTAACCCCATTGCCTAGCATGAAAAAAAAAAAGGTATAGATTCTAGGAATAGAGAACTGACAATCACACTGTATTCTGCCCTCATCAGACCTCAACTAGAGTACTGTGTTTAGATCTGGGCATTAATTTTTAAGAAGGACATTGATTAAACTGGAGGGCATTAACAGGAGGGCAACCAGAATGGTGAAGGCCTTGAGTCCATAACATTAAGATCAGCTGAAGAAACTAGGTATGTTAGCCTATAAAAAAGAAGATTAAGGGGGGTATGTGATAAGTTATCATCAAGTACTTGAAGGATTGTCAGAGGGAGAAATCAATTTGTTGTGATGGTCCCAGAGAACAGAACCAGGAGCTGTGAGTAGCAATTGCAAAGAGACCAATTTAGGTTTCATAGAAGGAAAATTTTCTTAACAATTAGAGTTGTCAAAAAGTGGAAAAGCTTGCCTTGAAAGATGATGGATTTCCCTTCTTTGGAGGTCTTCAGTGTCAGTTACGTAATAGCAGGTGATTTCTTTTGTGTATGGGTTCAACTAGATAGCTGCTGAGATCCTTTCCAATTCTCAAATTCTGTCATTCACACAGCATCGTTTCCAGTCCCTTGGCCATTCTGGTTACCCTCCTTGGTAGGTGCTCCAGTTTGTCAATATATTTCCTGACATGTAGGACTCAGAAGGAATGCAGAACTATTTTCCTAACATGCAGGACCCACAACACTTCATGTGTGTTCTGAACAGGACAAAGTACAGTGGCACTATTACCCACCTTATATGGGACACTATGTTTCTATTAATGCAGCCTAAGACTATGTTAGATGTTTTCACTGCTGTATCACACTTTTGACTCATATGGAGTATTTAGTGGCCCAGATCTCTTTCATATGAACTGCTGCTGCTTGGCCATGCCTCTTCCATTTTTTATGTGTAGAATCTGTTTTTTGAACCCCTGTATGCAACTTTGCATTCAGACTTCATGAGGTGAATACTATTATTATCCCCATTTTATAGGTGAAGAAACTTAGGCAAACAGGGGTTAACTGAATTGCCTAGGGTCACACATGTAAGAAGATCTGAAGCAAGATTTGAAATCAAGTCTTCCTAACTACAAGCCCAGTGATCTATCCACTGCACTAACTAGCTGCTAGTCTAATAACCCTTTCCAAAAAAATAAGGATAATCTAGTATTCTTGATTATCCAATGCTGGCTCTTAGTCATCTCCATTTTCCTTCTACAGGCTCACAAACCATCTCTTTAAAAACATGTTTCAGAATTCTACCAGGCTCATTAGCTTATAGTTTGAAGAATTCACTCCCTTCCCTCTTTTGAAAATTGACACATTTGCCTGTCTTCAGCCCTGCACCAACTTCCCCATTTCCTATTAGCAACTGAAAAGCCAAACAGAAAGTACCAAAGAAGAGGATTAGATCTTACTCTCAAAGCTCAGCATCATGGATTCCAAGTAAAGTTCCATGGCATGTTAGTTGAGGGGGAAGCTCTGTTGATCATTAACTCTTAGTTAAATGGAATATTTGGTAACTAACACATAGATCCTATTCCTCTAATATTGTAAATTTTACTGTTAGACAGAAAAAGCAAGAAAAAAAGGAGGCTACAAGGAATCCTTTTCCTCAAGATGAAACATAAGCTTTTATAAGTAATTCATCTCTGATTTAGGCAGGCCCCAAACATCCATCCCTAAGGAAAGGGTCTACATATGGTGATTCTTCTAGTACTAATATGGAAACTATAATTTCATACATCCGGGTAACGTGAAATATGTGACTCTTCAAATATAAATGAGAACTCACCCAAATTTCAAATTTAGTCAGGAAGAAACACTACATAGCATGAACACCCCTTACTCTGTAAGGCCTTTTCTTATATCCTTTAAAATTACATGTCTGAAACATCATCAAGTCATGAAATAGTTATTATAGTTTACCTAATGACAGAGAGAAAAAAATAATCTCACCTTATTAGCAACAGCATTAACACTGGGTCGTGCATCAAAAATGAAGATTTTATGGGACTGGGCATTAGAATCCATGATAGCCTGAAGATATTTTTCATCCTCTTTGCTTCTCTTTCCACTCACTCCAACCATGGGCTGGCTACATCGTGTGATTGTTGCTTGGCTTTCCGGATGAATCCATGATAAAACCTTAGAGTATGAAGGAAAGTAAGGGACAAATCCTTTATATATTTCCCATTTTCTTGTAAGGTACCACACTCAGAGCCTCAATTTTCTACCCAAAGCCAAATTCTGGCTGTGAAAACATGAATGCAGATGTTTAACACAACTTTTCCTAGGCAAACTCTAACAGGAAGAAAACAACTTAACATATTACTAATTTATGAAAGCCATAGCTGTGCTGCAGTGTACAAAGTATTACTACTAGAAAAGATAAAATAAATACAAAATAGAAATGAATCAGTTCTAGTCTCAGATTTCCTTTTTCTTCATGCACATGAAGCTTTAGAAATGTAGGGACTTCAAACACTGTGAATACTGTACTCAATTTTTTTTCCAGCTGATCTTTCTGGAAGGTCATTATTTCATTATCCAGCCATTGAAAACAAATATGTACAGTCACTTAATAGTTTTCATCAATAGATCTAGGGCTTAAGGGGAGAGTATTCATCACTGAGACCGAGGAATGAATTTAAAATGAAGAAATTGTGAATAATTCACTGGACTTTGTTTTTGAGGAAAAATGCTAGCAATTCTGTATAGGATTTAGCAATAACCATACTATCCTCCCAGACTGTTTCTTTAATCTAAGTTTTTTCTCTGGTATTAGTTTTCCTAAATAACCTGTTCTTCACTTTTGCTAGTAAAAGTCCTACTGCTACAACTATGTTTATGCTCCATCTCTATTTCTGTTTTGTTATTTGTATGAGATCTCAAATTCTACTATCCTCCAATCTTGGCATTACATATAATACAAAGACATTTGCAAAACCATAGCAAAGCTTCAAACTTACTGGGATACGGCCCCTTGATCTGAAAGATGCCACTCTCTTCAGTTCCTCATCTGGAATATTTGCTGGCACAACCAGGAGGGAGGGATATGTATCACATAACTCATAACGTTCATTAATCTTTGTAATTCTCCAACTTTCATTGGGAATTCCCTACATTTTAAGTAAAACAACTGGTAAGTTATTACCTGACCAAAAGTTCCAAAGGAAACAAAAGAGAAGCAAACAGACCAATCCTGAGTCAGGGACTATTTATATTCAAGGCAATCCTTCTTACCTTCATGGTGTAGCCTCTCAGCTACTGAGATAATGGCATGCCTGTACTAACTTGGTTTTTAGGTTTATGTAGCCTAACTTAGAAATCTATAACATCTTTTCTCTCATCTTGATAATGAATTATACAACCATTCATTCAACCAACTAAATAATGTCCAATCAGTGCACATTATGTACTAGGTGCTCCTGGGAAATAGAAAAAAAATGAATAATGTCTGTTTCCATCCTCAGGAAGCTTACAAATTAGTAAATTTTTCTGATTTATTAATTGGCTATAAAATCTTATTTTCTGCATATAGAAAGTAGTATTTTATTAAGATGTTTTTTATTAAGATACACTAGTTGGTACAAAATATTCCCCCATAAATCTTTGGTACATTCTTCCACCAATACATACAGAATCAGTGTACTTAAGTTCAGAGAGTATGTGACCAAAAAAAGGGGGTGGGGGTAACTCGCAGACCTTGAGATTGTTAGACAAAGATTATGCCTTCAATCCTTTAGGTTAAAGATTGGGTTTAATAGTTTTTGATTTTTACTCACAGTGTCTAGGATATAGTAGGCACTTAACTTACTGATTTCGTATTCCTGTATATCATAAGTAGTATTAACAAAAATGTTAGGAATCCAGGTAATAGCAGCAAACAGTAAGCATAATTATGGAAAGATCAGAGGAGACTAAGAAATTTAAATCATCTCACTTTTAACCATATGGTAAATTACTAAGTTTTCAAGCTATTTTTAACAGTTTTCAAAATTTTAAAATGTATTTCATTGGTTAATTCTTATAACTGTCAAATAAGATCATTCATATTCAACATTTCCTTCTTACAAATGAGAGAAACCAGAGACAAAAAACAATGTCAGTAAAAGAATTCTAAAATTTCTAAATTCTCTAGCTAATTATATGAAACCTACTGTCTTGTGATAATAACTAACATTTATATAGCACTTCATGCTTACAAAATGCTTCATTTTTTTCCTCAAAGACCTAAAATAAATCAGATTGTTGACCAGTTAGAATTAACACTCTGCTTCACTAGCTGGTATTCCAATTGTGTAAAAGAGAAGACAGGTTATTAGAAAGTACTCTACTGTAAGTTAGTGTTTCCCAAATTGGTTACCAGGAGTCCCAAGAGGGCATTCAGGTATAAGGGTGAGGGTAGAATGAGTTAATTAATCACCACTTAGCCCTGGTATGCTTAGAAAATGAGAACATCTGCACTGAACCAATCAAGGGGATTTCAACTAGGTGTGACAGGCAGTCTTTGGAATTGGTAGAGGAGACTTGTCCATGTCTTGTAAAAATTGTATAAAACTGGTAAGTGAGTTTAGAATCTAAGATTCAAGAATCTGATAATGGAGATAAGAGAACCATTCTAGTCAAGCCTAAAAAGGAATCACTTTGGGGGAGACAAAAAGCCTGTGAAAGAGAACTGGAGAATTTGGAACTTTTCATCAGCATCCTGGAATCATGTCCAGAATAGCAATAGCTTCTAGCACTGTTTGCATCAGAAACTAAGGACACACTATATACACTGAGCAAAAGGTGGCTTCAGAATTCCATGAGCAGCCAAGAAAAAAAAAATACCATGCCAACAGGAACTTCACAAGTAGCTCACCAAGGGGGGTAGGGCTTCCAGAAACAAGGTCTGTGAGTTACCCCTACCCCCTTTTTTTGACCCCCTTTTTTTGGTCACGTACTCTCTGAACTTAAGTACACTGATTCTGTATGTATTGGTGGAAGAATGTACCAAAGATTTATGGGGGGATATTTTGTACCAACTGGTCTTAGTAAAAACCATCTTAATAAAAATACTACTTTCTAAAAGCTAATTAAGTTTGCCCAGTTAACTGATATCAACCAGTAATCATGGGAGGCACATTGCAGGGGATCATGAATTATATCACTTGAAAAGACACCCTGCCTTAACACTTCAGGATTACCCTTAGAGCCCAAGAGGACACAGAAGCCAAGTTTGAGAGATCCAACTTAGCAGTGGGGATGGGGCGGGTGGGGGGAACGACACCCTGGAAGAAAAAGTCCAGAGTCTGTAAGTGCTGTTTAGGAAATTCAACAAATCAAATATGACCTCTTTCCTGTGATTATATCAACCCTATCAACAACTTCTTCATCTCTTCTTAACTACAACTTGCACTATGCTTGATTTTGTCTCATGTTTACTTTTCCATCAGAACATCATCCTTCACTCCTTATTGTCTACATTTCATCTTCTATCTATCCTTTACCTCCTATAGACTAAACCACAGGGCTTAGGTAAGAATCCAATCATCTGGAACAAAGATAAGATATTACTACGGGCAAAATTAAAGTTTAACAAACAGTGAATTATCAAGTAAAAAGTAGTGCTCTGAACACAGTAATATAAAGTGTTGGTTATCATGCCCACTCTTTTACCCCCTTTACTCCTTCAAGATCTAGGATCTTATATTATGTTGTATTATTTTGATGGGTGATTTAGAAACTGAAGCGATTTTTTCAAGTGGAATGATTATGATGTTTTACATAAGGAAGAGAGTTGGTAATTTCTGCTAAATGCATGAAAATGAAGGAGAGGAAAGAGTGAATGAACGTCAGAATAATAGATCTATGAAGACTTATTGATCCAATCAACTGATCTGTGAAGAGATCAGTTACAAGTCATTTCAACTCTACTCTCCCTCTGCTATTTGTATTACAAATAGCACCTAATCAGGCATTTTAATTAAAGAGACTAATGTCAGGGAAGACGACCAGAGAAAGTATTTGCTGTTCATAATTATTCACTATGGAAAATTAATTTCATAACCAAATTGACAAAGCATCATTATTATTCTCATCTACCACCTATTCATTCAAGAAATGAATAGTGTAAGCAATACAAAGAAGGATAACAGTCCTAGCCCTCATGGAGTTTATAGTCTAGTGGGAGAGATAACACAAGTATAAAAATAAAAGGACAAAGAATGTGAAAGGGCTCCAAGAGAGATACAAAGGGCTATGGTAATTCAGAGGAGGGACATATTACTTCCAGTCAGGGAAATCAAAAAAAGTACCAAGGAGGAGATAGTGCTTGAGTTGGGCCTTGAAAGAAGAAAAGGATTTGGACAGATGGAGCTTAGGGTGAAGGTCATACTAAGCAAAGGAATGGAGCCAGGGAGTGCAGAGGAATGCAGCTCTGATAAGCTCAGACAATGTCCTGGCTGGAACAAAGGACACCCTGAAAAAAAGCTATGGGAAAGGAGACTGAAGAGGTCAGATGAAGCCAAACTGCCAAGCCTTAATTGCCAAGCTAAGGAGTTTGGACTTTATTAGGTAAGCAACAGTGCACGTCTTCAAGCAGGCAGGTGACATGACCAATACCGGAGTTTTAAAGAAGCTAATCTGGCAAAGCTATGGAAAATGGATCAGAGTAGGGACACACGGAAACAGCTTTGAGAGTCAGAATCCTTCTCAGCGTATAGTTTCTATTCTATCATTGCCCTTCTTTCTGTTGTTATTGTTATCAAGCTGTATAGTCAGTCAACATGGGGAAGAGGAAAACAATAGTCTCAAAAGGGTTTTAGTATGAAAAAAAAAAGCATTTACTCTACCACAAAGTCATATGCAATAGCCTTGCTGGGTAAGGTTATCTTTACACTACTGGCCCACTAACTTTTCACAAGTAATGATGCATTTGGCACAATAAGAACCATTACATCACTACACTAAAGCACTCAGCTACATTTTCCATTTTTACTAACATTCATATTTATAGCTTGACTGCTTTTCACTTGTTTAGTGTATTAAATACTCTGAGTTTGAGTCCATAATGTAGTTTTAAACAACTTTTTAAATTTTAGATAACTGATCAAAAAGTATTGTTATTTTTATTTTCTTATGAAACAATATATAACCAAGAGGGAAGAGTTTTAACAAATATTAGTTGGCTAATTAAATGCACATTGTTACACACTCAAATCTGCATAGACTTATTATTTAATCAGGATGCTAGTACCTTCACTTGCATACCCCAAGAGCTATCTTAAACATGGGATTGTTTTCTCAACTCCTACTCTCACAGATGAGTCCTGGGTCCTAGAACAAAGATACATATTCCCTTCATGCTTCATGGATGGTGATTCTGAAATGCCATTGACTCAACTTCCAACCAGTATGCTCCCCACTCCCCACACCTCCCAAAAAAGATTATCTACCAACTGAAAAACAAATAGTCTGCCAGACTTAAAATGTTTTTAGAAAGGAGTGTTTTTCAAGGTGGTATAGAAAATATAGTTGGTACAAAACTATTTGTGATACACTCTTCCACAGTACATAGAGAATCCAAGAAAAGGTGGGAACAAATGAATAAAGCATTTATTAAGTGAAAACATTATATTTATTAGTCTCAGGCTATCTAGAAAATTAAACTTGCTGAATTCTTTTAATTATAATTCTTGTTCACTGGTTCAGAGAGTTATCACTTGACATCATACATGTGATAATCTCTTTCACAAATCAAGTCAATAAGCATTTATTAACCATTGACTATGTGCCAGGCACTGTGCTAAGCACTGAGGATACCAATACAAGCAAAAAAGAAAAACAGTCCTTGCTCTCAAGAAGCTTACCATTCTAACAGGGGAAGATAACACACAAAAGGAAGTGAAAGGAGATAGAGGAAAGAAGTACCTGCAAAAGGACATGCTGTCAAAATCCTGAGAATGAGGGATGGCTGATCTGGGCCCTTTCTCAAAATGGAAATTCCAGGAAGAACTCATCAATGGGAAAAGAGAGCCATGAGGGAGGAGGGGAAAAGGGGCTCAATCATGGTGGGCAAAGGCCAGAGAATGAAACATGGCTGGTCTGATGCTTAGAAAAGTTAAATGACTTGCCCATGATCACACAACTAGGAAGTGAATGGATTCACACTCAGGTCTTTCTGATTCCAACCCTAATACTTTATCCATTATACCACTCCTGCAGTAACAAATAGTTATTTTGCTTGGTGCCAGAGGACAGAACTAAGTCAAAAAGGCAGATGTAAAAAAGAGGCAGAATAGGATTCAATTGAAGGAGTAATTTCCTAATAATCAGAAATGTCAGAAATTGAAACAAGCGGGCTATCTCATAGGCCATGAAGTCATCTAGCAAGGCAGGGCTTCTGCTTGGCTGGATGGCTACTTTTAAGGATACTGTAAAGACCTGGAGAAGATGACCTCTAAGGTCACTTCCAACTCTATGAACCTCTGAGTAAAGAACTGCCAAGGGACAGCTAGGTGGCACAGAGAATACTAGAGCACCAGTCATGGAGTCAGGAGGACCTGAGTTCAAATCTGGCTTCAGACACTTAACACTTACTAGTTGTGTGACCCTAGGCAAGTCACTTAACCCCTATTGCCTCACCAAAAATAAATTAAAAATAAAATAAAGAACTGCCAAAGAAAAGGGATGGAACCATTCTGGGGTGATTAACCAATTCAGGCAAATCAATCACTAATTCTTAAACCTTTACCTCAATACTACTCTGTATTTTAAGTATCACTTTCCCTAAACTTAATGTGGGCTTAAAAATAACCTAACCTTTCTAACTATTTCTCAGAATATAAAATATAGAATCAAAATAATCTGAGTGAACAATAGTGAATGCCAAAATCAACTTCACTTCTTTTAACCTAAAAACTATTCAATATTCTTGAAAGAATCAGATTTGTTTTAAAATTCTGCTTAGGTCAAGAAAGATTCATAGAAGATCTTTAACACAATCTGGAAAAGCAGACAAAAATCTCTTGATGGGCCTAAATAATGGCCCAAGATTATTAGTTATTAGTTGAACGAAGAGTTTTTATTCTATCAATCAAGTTCAAAGAAGGGAAGGACTTACCTGCCTTCGGTATTCCAAAAAAGGGTCATACAATTTCCATCCATTTTCTGAAAATACCTCTTTGTATTCAAATGCAAAAAGAGGCTACAAAAGAATAATAACAATAAGTTGCTTATAAAGATTTACCATTTATCTTGTTAGAACTTAACTGCACATATGACAAACCATTTTTCCATTTTATCATGACTCTCAATACATCAGATCAGAAATATACAATGAGTATATCCAAAAGCACTTCAGCATATGCCTTATTTCAGTACCTCTTACTGAAATTACAGAGACAAAAGGTTTGTGAAATATGTTATGTCCTTAAGTAATAAAAAGTATGGAAAAAAGCATTTCTTCAAATTTAATTAATATATAATATCATACATATTAGAAATTTAAGTAGATTATATGTTTAATGTAAACATTCAACCAGAAAGTATGTAAATGGACACTAGTTTCTCATTTTTACAGCATGAAAACCAAAGTGTTATACTACCACCAAACATTTTGATAGAATAAGCTCTATTTTAACTTTTATAGGAATATGTACATTACTTTTCACCTCAAAAACACTCTGAAGAAAAAGATTTTTCTATTTTTTTCTCAGGAAAAAAAATCCTCACTTAAGTTCCACCCTGATTTTACATCATATGGTAGAGATAAAACTGAATATTGGAATGGTCTGCCTGTAAATCACAAGGCTGGATAAGCCCTAGCTAGCTGAAAAAGTTTCAAGTGAATACCTGGAGAGGGGCTATCTACCCCTTACCTGAAGACTGACTCACCTAAAGTTTGGAGGGCTCCTCATAAGATTGGCCACTCCAAGGTTGAGAATGGAATAACTGGAAATATTGGGGTGTCCTTGATTAAAAAAAAATAGGGAAGAAAGGAAAAGGTTTTGGTTTGGGTGAATAAAAGTTTTGGTTTGGACATGCTGAGTCTGAAACTAGGCTGGATATACAGCTTTTGGGAGTCGTTTGTATAGTGATGAACCCATAGTACGTTATGAGATCTCTGAAAGACTATATAGAAAGAAGAGAGGAATCAGAACAGAGCTTTGGTGGTTGCCTAAGGTTAATGGGAAGGGACACTGATGATGCAAAAACATCTAAGACAGAACAGCCAAAAAGGTAGTAAGAGTCCAAAAGCAAACAAACAAAACAAAACAACTCAAGGGAGAAAGGGTTTCAGGAACAAGATTGGATCAAAGGTTATGAAATGCTATAAAAGTCAAGAAGGATAAGGACTAAGAAAACTATCACATTTAGTAATCAAGAGAATGTTAGTAATCTTGAAGAAAGCAGAAGTTGAGTGATAAAGTCTGTTAGCTATTTGTAATCAGTAAAATCCATAAAAATGAAATCACAAACCCTTAAAGTAATTACTATATGAATGTCTGTGGCAGAAGAAACATCTTACCAAGTTATTGGACACAGGAAATGCATATTTCATTAGATTCTCAAATATGGATCTTCTAGTTCGTCCTTCTGGTTTATGAGCAAACCGTAAATTCCGAATATCCTACAAAATATTTAGGAACTAAATCAATCAATCAAAGCTTTACAACCAAAACTGAAGCCTAGTGCCCTACATGATAGATATCAAAATCACATGCTTCTTTTTCTTTTTCCCATCATGCCTTCCCCATGAGAATGGCTCCTTCATGAGTCTCTTCCAATTAATTCTTTTAACTTCTCTTGTCCATTATATCCTCCCTGGCACTCATCTTCACTCTATCTTCTTTTCAGTAGCATCTTCCTGATGGACTAGGGGAAATTGCTGCTGTTCATGGGTCTCTATCTCATCAATTCCATGCACAGCTTTATCCAAGTCCATAACCATCTAGTGTTAAAAATAGAAAGTTTTTCAGTTGTGGGTGGCAATGCTATTTTTGGGACAAAGGAGATCATGGATAAAGTCAGGCTGGACCTAAAGTTTGAAATCACCTCATATTACTGTACTCAAGAAAGCATTTTTTTCTCAAGTCAAAGCTCATGCCTTGATTCATGGTCAAGTCTTAAACACGCTTCCAGATAATTAATAACTAACCACAATTTCAACACCAGATTATCCAAAGTTGTATCATTTTATACAAGTATGCTAATATACAAGGTTTGATGGACTTGGGGATGGGGGGTGGGACTGGATCTATGACGTCATCAGTATAGGGAGCTCTCAGTAAAGAATCCCCTCCACCAACAAACTGACACTTGCTCTGTAACTTAAAATAAGATAGCTAACATTTATACAGTGCTTTATATATATTAACTTATTTGATCTTCAGAACAACCCTATGAGGTAGGTGTTATTATCCCTATTTTACAAATGAGCACAAATCAGCTGAAAGAGGTTAAGTGACTAGCCTAGGCCACAATCTGTTAAGTGTTCCAGGTAGATTTTGACTTCAATTCTTCCTGACTAGAAGTCCAGTGTTCTAATTACTATAATGCTACTTCTCTGCAATGATTAATTATATAAAGAAGATTCAAAATATAATAAAGTGTATATGCAGCATATTAAAAATACAACTTGATTGTATCATAAATTAGATCTAAAATGGCAATGCATGCTAAATACAAAAACTATTAAACATAAAAGTGACAACTTTGTCTTCTGAGAATTTAAAGAACTCTTCAGGAATTAGAGCAAAAAAGACCCCTTTAAAAAGTTGTCCAAGGGGGGAGGGCAGCTAGGTGGCGCAGTGGATAGAGCACCGGCCCTGAAGTCAGGAGGACCTGAGTTCAAATCTGGCCTCAGACCAAACATTTGACACTTACTAGCTGTGTGACCCTGGGCAAGTCACTTAACCCCAACTGCCTAAGCAAAAAAAAAAAAGTTGTCCAAGGAAGCTTCAACAAGTATTTATTAAGTGACCAACTATGTGTAAGACCCTGAGCTAAGTAATGACAAAAATGGAAGTCTATGTTCTCAAAGGATTTGCATTTATATACTGGGGGATGCAACATGTACACAGACAAGCAAAAACATAATTGAAGAGGGAAAGATCATTAACAATCCAGGGAAATTAGAAAAGGATTTGTGAGGAGATAGCACCTGAGCCGGTGGCATGGTGGACAAAGAACTGGACCTGAAGTCTCAGACATTTATTAGCTGTGTGACCTTGGGCAATTCATTTAACTCCTGTCTGCCCCAGTTTCCTCAGCTGTAAAATGGAAATAATGACAACACCTACCTTCCAGGGTTGTTGAGAGGATCAAATGAGATAATATTTGTAAAGTGTTTAGTATTGACAAATAGTAGGCACTTAATAAATGCTTATTCCCTCCCTCCCTAAGCACAAAAGAAAGGAGGTCTGAGAGGTGATGTGGGGATGGGGATGGGGGATTTAGACCAAATAAAGACTACTAAGGAACCTAAAAATTCTACTTGATAACTAACAAAATAAAAGAGCACTTCACTGGAAAGCCATAAAAAACTATCAGATTCACAGGAACTTTTTAAAGGGGACTTCAAAACACTTCTAAAAAAAATTACTAAGGTAGGCATCAGAAAGAATACTAACCATAAGCCTCCTTCATATACATTGACGGAGTACCCCTCCAAATAAATACATAAAAGATGTGAGACTAGAGGGACGAGATTCAGACAATTTCATATGAGTGGAACAATGAAAGGCAAAAAATACAGATTAATAAATGGCTTAAATATGACAAATGAATCTAAATCTTAGCATATTTTAGAAGTACCACTGCGTATTAGCATAGCTACAACTGAGTGAAAGAATTATATCCTACTTTTCTACCACTCTTTATGAGACAAAAAGGGTGAAGAATGAGAACTTTTTCATTTTTGCCAATATATCTAATTAAAGATTTCTAAATTTCAGTAGAAAAAAACCACTAAATCTGGTTTTTGACACGCAAAAAAGTGAATAATTAAAATGTAAATATCAAAATGAGAACTGTTTCTTTTCCTGCTGCTGCTGCTTTTTTTGCATATTTTGTTTTTACCAAATTATGGTTATGGATATAGTTCCTCAAAAATTATCATGTACACTATAGATACTTAATAAATATTAAAAATTAATTAAGCTTATATGCAGTTATGCTCCTATCTACTACTTACCAAATTTTATCAGCACTAATCCTAAAATTAATTATTATTATATAGCTTTATTTCTAAAATGAACTTCATTGTTTTCTGGGGGAAAAAATTAATATTCCTTTTAAGAAAAAATTTCAAATCAAAATGAAGAAGGAAACTTGCCTTGCACATAGTTTCCAGTCCATAAGAATTTTCACCTCGACTAGAAGCACCACCAATTTTTTCTACTCTACTGATCACACCAAGTGAAGCATCTAAAACAAATGGAGGATCCTGGGGGTTAAGGAGAAAAAGTGTTATTCACTAAAACTAAGAAGGAAAAAATTTATATTCATTGCATAGCAAAATAATCTTAATTAGAAACATCAAGAACATTATCAGGGTCTTATTATGTAAGCCTTACCCTTTCCATGCTTTTGAAATATAAGCGGTAATTTGTAACAGTCAAAGTTCCTCGTACAGCCCCAGTGAATGGGCATATATAAGTAACATCTTTGGCTGAAAATGAAAAGAGTTCACAGGTTATGATCACATAGAATTTTTAAAAAATTCATTCTCAAGGGCAGCTAGATGGTGCAGTGGATAGAGCTCTGGCCTTGGAGTCAGGAGGATCTGAGCTCAAATCCGACCTCAGACACTTGACACTAGCTGTGTGACCCTGGACAAGTCACTTAACCCCGACTGCTCACAAAAAAAAAAATCATTCTCAGTGGTTCATGAATATAACTTATTGGGAGTCTGTTTGTTGTTCTTAAAGCCCAAAGGTCTTTCACTCAGAATATTTCTTAGCAGCCAAATGATCTTAAGAGTCCACATGGCCCAGCCTTCCACTCATGCAATCTCTTCCACAACACCTTTGACAAGTGGTTATATAATCTGTGCTACATCACTGCTTAATGAGGTAAATCACTCTATTGTTAGAATATTATTTTTATATTGAATTAGAATCTTATTTCCATTCATTGATCCTACCTGCTAAACTAAACAAGTAGCACCCTTCCTTTTGGATATGGCAGCCCTTCAAATACCTGAAGATAGCTATTATGTTTCCTCCCAGTCTTCTACCCTCAGCTTTGCCTTTTGCTTGATACAAAACACTGGTCAAGTCACAAATCACTCTGAGCCCCTATTTCCTCTTAGGTAAAATGAAAAAGGTTCCCAGAGTTGTGAGTATTAAATAAGATAAGTCTATGAAAGTTCTCTGAAAACACTATGTGAATGCAAAGTTTTATTTAATATTTATAATTATTAATAATATTGATAATAATTAATATTAATATATTGGTGATAATATTAATAAAGTCATACTCTGATGCCTAATCTTGGCATGCAGGTTACCTTAGGTTCTCAAAAAGCTATGGCAACAGAACCCGAGCTCCAATAGTTTTTACCAAGCCGGTAATGTCTGGCAAGGTTTGTGCATCTCTCAAGGACAACCCTGACTAAACATCAAAAGCCTTTTCACCAGAAGGCTGCCCAGATAAATTTTCAGGCCATGGTTTTAAAGGTAATCCAATTTGGGTCAGTGAAAGGGAATCCTATCTTTCAAAGGATCAAAATTCCATTAGCTATTTTGGCTTTACTCCCTCACACTGCTGGTTTACATTGAATTTAGAGTTCACATTTTTACTTCTGTTTTCTCCACCAAGTAGAATGATCATTGGGCTAAGAAGGATAGAACAAAAATGGCTAACAGGGAAGACTCCAGAGGAGTAAGAAAATGAGTATCTAGCCTCAGGGAGTTCAAGTTACTTAGTTTATACTTTAAGAGAATGAAAGAATTCACAGGCATGATTCTCGAACAAATTGTCAGTAATTTTTAAGGAATCACGTCTTTGGGCAAAGACGAAGAAAAAAAGCAAGAAAATACAGTCTCTTTTATATGAACTGCTATGAAGATTTTGTTTATTGCTTATAGATCTGATCCTCTTAGTTTAACCCATAATTCCAGCTTTTTGACATCTTTTAGATCCCAATTCTATCATGTGCAAATTTGATACACACAGCAGTTACATACTAGAAGGTCTTCTAAGGCAATCCATACTTCCTACACTACTTCTTTTCTTTTCAATTTTCTTTTATTCCTGTTACTACATACTTATTCACTAGACTTTCTTCTCAGATCCACATACAATTTGGCATTTTAATAAATGCTTTTAAAAAATGATAATGAATATATCACATATGGTTCTGCTTCAGAAAACCTCATTTCCCCCCAATATAGATACTTTATTTCACCAAAGCTATTTTAAAGAATTACCCAGAATAGATGTAACAAGTAAAAGTATTGGGGCAGCTAAGTGGCACAATGGATAGAGCACTGGCCCTGGAGTCAGGAGGACCTGAGTTCAAATTCGGCCTCAGACACATAATACTCACTAGTTGTGTGACTGGGCAAATCACTTAACCCCAATTGCCTCACCCAAAAAAAAAAAAGAAAGAAACAAGTAAAAGTATTGGGTTAGAATGGTGGTTTAGATCTCATTTTCTAGTCAGACATGTAAAGTGAATGCTCTTTAATAAAGGACGGAAGGAAAACACTGAATTAAAGCCATTAGTTAAAAAATAGAGAATGTTTTCTTCTAATAAATTAACTAATGCAATTTTCTGAGGAAAGAAAACAAAGGAAGGGTATAAATGAGAAAGGAGTACTAAAAGATAGTGACAATCCAATGCTTTTACAGTATCTAAGCATCCCAACATTTAGTACCTTAGTTCAAACTCAGAACCCACCATTTTGGTCAGGATTTCATCAATGACCCTTCAGATCTCAATCATGTCTGAAATTCTGGCTACTTTCAAAGAAAGCAAAGCAAACTAGAGGGGGAAAAAAGCATAACCCAGCTCACATATGTTCTAATAGTCTTAACATGAAAAATATGGATAAACCTAAATATGGGCTCACTGGACATATAAATAAGTTGAAAATATTGCAGTTAGTTCATTACGGTATTTCTGTGACAATGAAGTCATTCTCTGTGTTCTGAGGATATAAATGAGATAATATATGTAAAGTTCTTTGCAAAACTTAAAGCATTATATGTTCACCAATCAAAAAGAAACAGTAAAATTATATAAAAGCTATCTTTACATACCCATGTCTTTAATATTTTCTCCTGGAAGCAAAGGTGGTTCTTCCATTTCTGCTAATTTGTTAGTCTCCCTTAGGACCTGGATCAAAAAAGGGGGGAGACAAGAAATGTTGATGCTTAGAATATTTAAAAGTTTGACAGAATTTTCCTGTGAATCCCTAAGGACCAGAAGTTTTTTGTTTATTTGTTCTCCTTTCCCTCCTTTCCTTTTGGAGTTCCTTTACAGCTAGTTCTATTTCCCACTCTAAGACTGGATTATTTAAGATCTCTATTTGGTCTTCTGCTATTTGGGGTATTCTGATTTTTGAAGATATTCCTCTTTCTTTTGTGTTCTCAGTTTTAACATATAACCATAAATGTGTTTATATACATACACATTTATGTATGTGTATATATACGTGTGTGTATATATGTGTTTATATACACACACACGTGCACACACACACACTGATAATTAATTCTTTTTATTTCTCCTGGTTTTGTTGTGATTTCACCTAGTTCATCTGCTGTTCTGCTGATTTGATTTTCTGCTTTCTTCTTTTTAATCAAATTAGCTAAAAATTTTCAATTTTCTATCTTTTGAAAGAACTAACTTTTAGTTTTATCATTTCCATAGCTTTTTTGGTTTCCACTTTATGTATTTCTCCTCTGATTTTTAATATTTCTTTTGTTTGCTTATTTTATGTTTTTACTTGTTGGCTTTCCAATTTTTAAAAATGCATATTCATTTAATCCTCTTGTTCAGTTTTGTTAATGTATACTTGCAGGGATATAATTTTCCCCTGAGGTTAAATATATCAGAAATTCTGATATATTGCTTCATCATTATCATTTTCTTTCACATAATTATTGTCTCTATGATATTTAATTTGACCCATTCATTATTTAGGATTTCTTTGTTAAGTTTCCATTTAGGCCTCTGTCTTTTATTTGTGATTCCTGAACTGATTACTATTTTTATTGCATTATAATCTGCAAAGTATGCATTATTGCTCTTTTTATACCAGTTTGCAATATCTCTGTACCCCAGTACATGGTCAGTTTTTGCAAAAGTTCCATGTGGTGCTGCGAAATACATATATTCTTCAGCAATCTCATTTAAAAGATGCCATAAGCCTTTTCACTCTAGTTTCTCTAGCATTTTGTTGAGTTCAATGTTTTCCCTTTTGTTTATATTTCTGTTAGACTTACACAAAATTAAAAGAAGGTACTGAGGACAGAATGCCAAAAAAGAAATAATCCCTGCCCTCAAGGAATTTACCTTCTATTGTGAAGAAACAATTTGAACACAGATAATTAAATATAAAGCATGTACAAAGTATCTGCAAAGTAACTGAGGGAGGAAGAGCCTAACAGACAGGAAAATCAGTAATGGTCCCATATGATAGAACTTAAAATGAGTCTTAGAAGGAAGCGAAGCATGCTAAAGGTGAAGGTGAGGATAGAATGTTCCTGGTATGAAGGGAGGAGGGGTACAGCCTGTACAACAAAGGAGGGAGATGAAATGTCATATACTGTAAATGTCATTGTCACATAAGATGTAAATATCATGTACGTAAATGTGCCTATTTGGCTGGATTACAGAGTGCACGAAGCACAGTAATGAGTAATACGCCTAAAAAAGTTGTCAGATTATGAAGAGCTTTAAGTGTCAAAAAGGATGTTACATTTAAGCCTAAAGAAGACTGGGAGCCACTGGTACTTCCTTAACAGAGTAGAAACCTGGTCAGACCTGGGCATAAAGAAAAGCAAATTTGGAATCTTTGTGGAGGATGAATTACAGAGGAGAAGGTCTAGAAGCAAAGAGACCAATTAGGAGGTTACTACAACAGTCCACGCCAAGAGAGGAGGGTCTAAAGCTGAGAGATGTTAAACATATTTTATGACAAATTAAGAATCCAAAAAGATCTCAACAATGGCTTGAATCTAAGAAAATAAAATTTAACAAGGTTAAATGTAAACTTATACTTAGATTCAAAAATCAATAGTGAAAATAGTTAAGTAACAACTAAATAATCAAGAAATATGGGAGGCACTATGGTGTACTAGACTTGAGTCAGAAAGATCAGTCAATTTATTGAAATTTATTAAGTACCTACTAAGTTCCAGACACTATTCTAAATTCTGGGGACATAGAAAGAGGCAAAAGACAGACCCTGCCCTCAGGGAGTTTATAATCTAACAGGGGAGACAATGTACAAACAAATATATACAGGGAAAATTATACACAAGATAAACAGGAAATAATTAATAGAAGAAAAGCACTAGAATTAAAAGGGGTTGGGAAAGGATTCCTGTAGAAGGTAAGATTGTAGTTGGGACCTAAAGAAAGCTAGGGAAGTTGCAGATGGAGCTGAGGAAGGAGAGTATTCTAGGCATGCGGCATCTAGACATACACATCCAGAGGCAAGAAATGAGGTATCCTGTTTATGGAACAGCAAGGAGGTCAGTTGGCTGGTTGTTGTCCTTCTAAAGAGAAACAGTTCCTATTTATTTAAATTTACTCTGAGCCAGGAGATTCATGGTCCTCTTCGAGAACGAAGGACAAACCACACAACCTGTTGTCCTTCATACTCGAAGAAGACCAAAATGAAATCACAATGCCAAGGTCAAGGTCCAATGTGTCAAAGCTATGGCCGATCAGACCAATATGAGCTCAAAAAGCTCTACCACAGATCGGGCACAAATAGCCCATATGAACATCTGAAGTGCAGATAACCTCTAAGTTTGTGAATTCTCATGTTTCTTTTGAGCTACTGCAATTCTGCTTTGCTCATAGAGCACGGCACCTTCTTTGATGTGGGCACACCATGCTGAGCAGCCTTGTGCCAATGTCTCCCATGTCTCATGATCGATTCCAAAGTTCTTCAGAGAGACCTTGAGAATGTCCTTGCATCACTTCTTCGGACCTCTGTGTGAGTGATTGCCTTGTGTGAGCTCTCCATAAATAGTCTTTTAGGCAAACATATGTTTGGCATTTGAACAACTTAGCCTGCCTATCAAAGTTGCACTCTCTGCAGCAGAGTTTGAGTGCTTGGTAGTTCAGCTCAAGAAAGGACCTCAGTGTCCGGAACTTTATCATGCCAAGTGATCTTCAGAATCTTCCTAAGACAATTCAAATAAAATCGATTCAGTTTCCTGGCATGGCATTGGTATACTGTTCAGTTTTCACAGGCATACGACAATGAGGTCAGCACAACAGCTCTGTAGACCTTCAGTTTGGTAGGCAACCTAATAGCTTTTCTCTCCCACACTTTCCTTCAGAGCCTCCTAAATACTGAGCTAGCTCTGGCAATGCATGCATCAACCTCATTATCTATGTGTACATCCCTGGAAAGTATACTGCCAAGGTAAGTGAGTTTGTCCACAGCATTCAAAATTTCTCCACTTGCTATAAGTGATGGTTCCACATATGGATGGTGTGTACTGGCTGATGGAGAACCTGTTTTCTTGGTGTTCACTGTCAAGCCAAAATTAGCACAAGCAGCAGAGAACAGATACATATTCTGTTGCATCTTAGCCTCAGAGGCTGCACTGAGTGCACAATCATCCACAAACAAAATGTAATGCACCAATTCCACTTTATAGTCTTGGCTTGTAGCCTTTTCAAGTTAAATAATTTGCTGTCAGTGTAGTAGCTGACCTTGATTCTGTTTTTGTCCCCAGTCAAGACATCCAACAACATTGCTGAAAACATCATGCTAAAAAGCATAGGAGCAAACACACTGTCCTCCACTGGTGACTAGGAAAGTGCAATAGCATTGTTCATTATCCAGAACTCATGCAGGCATGCCATCATGGAACTAGTATACTATACTAATGAACTTCTCCAGGCAACCAAATTTTGCCACGATCTTCCATAAACCCTCATAACTGACCATATCAAAGGCCTTGGCCAGACTGACAAATGTTGCGTACAGACCTCTGTTTTGCTCCTGCTATTTCTTCTGAAGTTGTTGATTAGCAAACACCATATCAACCATTCCTTGTGCCTTCCTGAAACCATATTGGCTCTCAGGTTGATGACCATCTTCCAGGTGAAGGATCAGCCAATTAAGGAGGGCTCTGGCAAGAATCTTGCCAGCAATGATTAAGAGAGAGACCCCACTGTGATTGTCACAGGACAACCTGTTTCCTTTTTCTTTATAGGGAGGGACAATGGAGACATCCTTGAACTGCTAGGGGAAAAACTCCTCTTGCCATATGACTCAGAAGATTTCAGTCAGGTTTTACATGAGCAGTGGACCCCCTGCCTTGTAAATCTCCGCTGAACAGAATCAGCACCAGATGCTTTGCCACAGGAGAGGAGCCTCATGGCATTAAAAACCTCTTCCTCAGTTGGAAGTTCAGCTGGGAAGGGACTGACTTCCACCTGAGGTACGTGGCCAATGGCTTCAGCATTGGTTGATGACAGTCTGTTGAGAACATTATGGATGTGTTTAGCCCACCTCTCCAGAATCACGTCCTTATCACTAATCAATGTGGCTCCATCAGTGCTGAATAGTTGAGATGCACCATAGGTTTTGGCTTGGACCCATAAATAGTCTTCAGGGCACCATTAAAGTGCTTTGGATCATTATTATGAGCATAAAAGTGAATTTCATCTGCCTTCTTACTGAGCCAAGAATCCTGCATCACCCTAAGCTTTGCTTGCGCTGTACTTTTTATAGAGTTAAACAATGTCTTTTTAGAAACAGACAAACTGTCCTACTGGTAAACCCTATGGAGTTCTCATTTTTCGTTTAGCAGCTTCTGAATTTCCCCAGCATTTTTATCAAACTAATCAATGTTTGTGAGAGTTCTGGTCCAGATGAGCAAATGCAGTGCTGTACACCAAATCTTTGAAAGCTACCCACTCGTTTTCTGCTCCACTGTTGCCAACTGTGTGTTGGTTCAACTTTTCCTCCAAGCTAGCAAAACAACTGTTTCAGCTCAGAGAAGAGCTCTAATTTGTTGATATTAACTCTTCTGGTAGTCATCTTGCCTTGGGGCTGCTACTTTTGTTGAATGTGAATGTTGAGCTTGGAGAGGGTAAGTCTATGATCACTCTAGCATGCTGCACCACACATCACCTTTGTC